GAACACATCTCTCCTACCTTCGGCTGTGTTACTTACGTAGTGCCTGAAGCACCATTAAGAATAAAACTAACGGAAACAAACACAATATGGAAGTAGAGAGAGGGAAAGGATGCGTGTTGACGACGACGGCGTAGAGATACAACTATTCATACTTGATGGGCGTCTGTGCTGCGTCTGAGAAATTGAAGGCGCGATGAAGCGAAGCGTGAGCTCTCAATGCTCTGCTATGCATGCTGTTAATGAGGTGTCGCTCAGATTCGGGAGAAAAGTTGAAAAAGAGGCCCGAATAAGTCTTTTCTGTCTGCGGCTGTGTTAATACTCGTTCTTGCTTCTTTTTTCAGGTTCTTGTCTGATTATTTTTTTAGGATTTTGCAGATCCACGTCTTAAGCTCGCGTTAACCGCAACACTGGCTCGGTTCTTTTGGCAGTAATGTTTCATAAACAATGGAAAACAAAAATTTAGATTTTTAAATTAAGGGAGGCAAAAAGCTTTAGTATTTTGGTTGTGACATTGGGTTCATTGCCGATTAGTGGGTTTGTATTCCTTTTGACTGTTGGTGCGTGAATCTGTGAGCGTAGATCCCTGAGGGTAGTTCAGTCCAAAATCACGTGTTTGACAAGAGATGATACACCACAGAAGTTACAGATGGGTTTATCTTCTTTGCAGATGATGTGATCGTGACTGAAAAAAGTGTAACCGATCCTGAGACGCGCAATTTGAACTTCACATGATCTTCTTTGTGATATGATGTTCTTGGATATGGTATAGTGGCTCTGCGGAGACGATTTTGTTCACTTGTGCGTCAATCTTGCTCCCACGAGCTGTTGATAAGTTCGCACGTTGCTTTTTTAGCATCTTGTTGAGTGATGTTTCGCATAGAGCATGCTTCAGTGGCTGCTTTATCCACTATTCCGTTTCCCAGAATTCCTTCTTGAGCCGGTACCCAGACGAAGGAAGTGGAGTGACCATTGGCCGATAAGGAATGAACTATGGATTAACATTTAAAAGGGATGACCCATCCCATCTCAGCTATGAAAATAGAATGTAACGGAGATAATTTTTGTTTCAGGATAGAGATAACTCTTCGCGCTCCCTGATACATATATATGTTGCTCATCGATGGTGCAACTGCAGAAAAGCGTTTATCGGTTTGCGGCGCACAGTGGATAGAGTCAATTAGAGAGGTCGGACATGAAATTTTTGACTAAAACTGCACATTTGGATATTTGCCGTGAAGTTGGATGTTCCAACTTCACGGGGTGATTTTGGATGTTCCAACTTCACGGGGTGATTTTGGAAGAAAATTTTACGAGAAAACCAATGGAACCACTTTTAAAATCTCAAAGTTTTGTTTGAACGGAGTTATTAGTTTTAAAAGTCTCCAAATTTTGTCCGTTCACTCCTACTGACTCGATCCATTGTGCGGCGTTGCAGACTTCAGCTGTTATCCTTTATTTTTTACTTGAAAAATCATTGAACGTCATTTCTTGGAAACTACAGTGATTTTTTCTCTCTCTATGAAGAGTACCCTGAAAATTTCAAGCCATGATGTTTTTCCGGTCTCCTTTAAAAAAATCAAATAGGAGCGGAGATATTGGAACACGGCAACTGAGATATGCGCATTTTTGTAGTTTCATTATCAATAAGCGGCAAAATTGGAGGCGTATACCTCGAGGTCAAAAATACACGACTGTAGGTTTAAGCATTTTTTATTGGGTCTGTCGAAGTTTAAGGAGGAGGTCATGTATTTGTTAGCTTTTGAAGAGATACCTATTCGCTCTCGTTTGTTGCCTATACGGCGAAGTTGAAGGCTCACCTCAAATTCACGATAGCTACCAGCAAGATTTCACGGATCGCATTTAAAATAAAGGAACCAGCGCGATTACAGTGTTGTAAAAAAAGTTGCTTCTTCATACCTGATTATATCTTAAATTCTCCCAGAACGGCAAAAAGTTTTCACTTCCCACCAAAATATTGTTATAATGAAGGAAAATTATTGTGTAAATTTTAATACCGTACCTACACATATTAAGTGTTTCAAAAGAAAAGAAAAAGATGCACGATTTTGAAAACACTGTAATCGCATTGGTTCCTTTTTGCTAAATGTGATCCACATTAAGCACGCCTTCCCCCCTTTTTTTTCTTCTTGGTTGCAACGAAGATTATGGTGCGAGCTATAAGAGTGTTTTTCGAAACTGTTCGAAAAACACATATCTGCCGTGTTTCTTCCGCCAAACGATACAGATTTAACCCCTTCAAGCTAGAGTTATAGTTACCTACCTCATCCTTCATCCCCGGACTTTAGGCACATTCAGATCGCATTTAGCAGAAAGGAACTAGCGCTAATTCAGCATTGTAAAAACATTGCTTCTTCATAATCTAAAAAAATTTCCAGAATAGCAAATAGTTTTGGCTCTCCACCAAAAAATTCTTAATTTGAAAGGAATATAATCGAGTAAATTTTAATATTGTGCGGGTCCACGTATTGAGTTTTTTTAAAAGAAAATAAGAAGTTGCACGATTTTGAAAACTCCGTAATTGCGCTGGTTCCTCTCTGTTAAATGCAATGCATTTCGCCTGCCTTTATGACAAAAAATGTGGCTAAGAATTTATTATTGCGACAAGCATCGCTTTTGAGCCCGATGGATAGGTGAGTGATGTGTGAGCTGGATGCGAAACAACGCCAACTGGCCTTGCCTTTCCACACCGCAATGTGCAGTCTCGGAATGCGGAAATATAAATACTCACATACCTATTAGTTATGTGAGTCATATCACTCATACACATACCCTCTGGCCTCTTTTGATTAGTTCAACAGTTCGCCTTCCTTCGCTTCCGTTGAGTATGCGAATCCTTCCATCCACGCGCGATGCATCTTAATGGAGGCACCTCATTACGAAGATGTCCAATTCGATTGCAACATTGTTTATGGCCCCAATAAAAAAATTAATCTTTCAAATCAATTCATTCAGGTCTTCATCCTCTCGTGTTGAAGTATATTTAATAGAGCAAACTGGACTTGATTTGGAGCCATTATTTCTGACTCACTTTATAAAATCACCTATCGGCCTCGGGAGACTACTGGCACATACTTATCATTGTTGTTACCAAAAAGTGCAGGAATGGAAAAAAGCTAGTGCATGATTTGTGGGAAATGGAAAAGTCGATAAATATGATCGGGCCTCATACGGCTGATAATTTTCAAAAAGTACATAATATGCGCGTACAAATCTAAAAAAACAAGAGAGAACAACAACAGCATGCACTGCCGTGCTAAGGAAGAACGCCGTATGATCCATCACACGTTGCCAAATTTCCCTCGCTAAAATACGAATTCTAAAAGAAAACTGTGACTGTACGTCCTTTAATTTTTCAGACAGTTTAATTTACACTCAGATCTGAATTATCTGAAAATTTCAAGAGAAAATGTCCATAACTTTCCCGAGTGACGAACACTAAATTGGAGGAAATTTGGTACCTCTCGAATTTTCTAGAGTCCCTTTATACCCAGAGTTAAGACAACTCGATTATCAGCTGACTGGCAGCCGGCCTTGACTGGCCATGGAGGCCGAAACGAGTGCACCCAAACGAACGATATTGAGGGATAAGGATCAGGAATCCTGCGATGTCTGTCACACAAAAACAACAAATTGATCAATTAAAAAGAAAATGAGATTGGTTTGTGAATAATTTCTTAATCTATTTTCATTTTGGACCGATGGAAATGACAATTTACTCTTGATAAACCACAATTAGGTGATATTTTCATTATTCTTGTTCACATTCGAGGTACCGCCATCTTGGTGCACTCGTTTCGGCCTCCATGAGCGAGAACCAATCAGAATTGGATTTTTTTTTAGGCCACTTTCAGCCGAACCAAAAGTGAGTTGTCTTAACTCTGGGTATAAAGGGACTCTAGAATTTTCATAGGGTTTTTAGGAAAAAATTCCGACAGTAACACAAACACCTTCGAGGAAATACATTGTACTCAAGTTTTTTGACGTTAATAGTGAGGAGAAATACACGGAAAAAATAATTGCGGTACAAGAACAAATAGGGCATCGATAACTAGTCAAAGTACAAAACCACGTATCTCCCTGTGCGACGTCGAAGACTCCCCGTCATACTTTATTTTTTCTTCCGGAAACTAGTCATCATAATTTCTTGAAAACTTCAATAATTTTTTTCTCTGTGAACAGAATATTCTGCATTAATTTCAAGCTCAAATGTTGGCTTAACATTTCTCTTCGAAAAATGAAAATATGAGCGGAAATTTTGAAACGCCGCAATGCAGAAACGTTATATCACACTGTAGTTATCAAAATGAAAATTTTTTTAGGGTCAACAGACAAACAAATTGAGACGTCTACACTTTTTACGAACATAATAACCTTGACGAAAATATGGTGAGAGGCATTAAATTTGGAGGAAGAAAAGAAACAGCGGCATTGAAATCGATATTTGACCTTTCGAGGACAATTTTGAAATGGATTACGTAAAAAAAACAACAAACAAAAAAACCAAAAAAATTGTAAAAGTTTCTTGAGTTGGTACCTAATTCAACGATTTAGGTGTGTCAAAACACGAATGGCTCCCAACTACCTTCCCGAGTGACGGATGTGACCAGAGCAAAATTCTGTGATAAAAAACCCATATTTAAAATAAAAATATTAGAGAGTATAATTAATAAGGTAAGAAGATATAATAAATAATTAATAAGGTAAGAAGGTATAATAAATAATTACTTAAAATAAAAATATTATTATGATACATTACATATTCTCCGCGACGAAAATCTCAAATTGAAAGAAGGAAGTTCAAGCCTCCTTGATGTCGCTCGAAAAAATGAAGAGCGCATTTTTAAATTGCGCGCCACTCGATGAGAGAGGGTGTGCCATCAACTGCGTGACTCAAGAAACAATGCGATCCACGTTACCGCGCATGCTTCCAATGACTAGCGTCGTGAGCTGCATGGCTTGGGTTTACTTTCAGACACAAGGCCTACAAGGCCTATCGCGTGCAAGCTATTCTCTGGCAGTTGGCTTACTCGTTTCAGTTCGTGACCGGGAGAGGTTTTCGCAGTGCTGTGTTATTTTAAGTGGTATCCTGTTAATCTACTTGTGAGCTAAATTTAAGACGTGATTTTTTAACGATGGCGAGTGAAGATAAGAAGGAAACGGTTGCCGAAACCAAAGAAGTCAAGGAGGAAACTACCCCTACCGAAAATAGCAAATCCGAAACTAAGGATAAGGATATCGATACGTCGGCTCCACCGGCGGAGCCCGCACCGCCGAAACCCACGGTTAAAAAAGTAAATTACGAAAAAGATGTGGTTTATTTGTACCAGTTTCCCCGTACATCAGTCATCCCATCAATTTCCCCGTATTGTTTGAAAGTGGAAACTTGGCTCAGACTCGCCGGCTTGAAGTATGAGGTAAGATATTTTTTTGTTTGGTTCCACCACGTCTGCGGAATTTTTGCCGCATTCGGTAAGTAACTGTCACTTTGTTAGGGGCGAGCCTGCAAATTCTGAGGGTTCCACACGTTTGGGAAACTCAATTTGGATGTTTTGATGGATGACTTTATGGTAACTTATCCATGTTTTATGGACTGAGAATGATGCATTGCAGTTCTTGTTTTGGTCAACATCATAATTCAACTGAACGTGCTCACACATATTCGAATTCCTTAGATGTCTGAGGGTCATGGACTTTAGATAGTGCATTTATCTCTTTAAGTAGCCGCTTTTGTTATCATAGTAATTGGGCTGTTGATTCATGTGTTATAAACCCCTCATCTTGTTAGAATTTGGATTGTGTTGATTCTAGTTGAAGTGTGTGATCAAGCACATTGAGTATCCATTGTTGAGTACCTACTCAATTCCGAGCACCAGGCTCTTCCAAAGTTGAACATGTGCGTGCTATGGTGGAGTGATCACCATTTGGTATTTGGTTTTTAGGATTTCTTCGAATTATCGGTACATAAAATGTTTACACCTGCAAGTCATTATTTAGGATCCAGCGAAATTCCAAATTTTGTTAGATGGGTTTCATGAGAACTGAATTGGCACTGCAAATTTAGAGAGGGTATTTCAGAGGAAATTCTTAGAGTAAATTCTGATTTCTAATGTAACTTTTTGATGGCCGAAGCCCAAATTCCACCGCATTCTTTTATTTAAAAAAAAAAAAAAAAAAAAGTGTATTTCCCTGGGAGAAAACTTGATATAACCAGGGGGAATTTGCTCTGTTCTATTGAAACATCAATTCAATTCAATTCAATTCAATTTATTAATTCTTCAATTTACACAATACAATAAAAATACATAATCAACTTCCCTCATCCAGGAGGTGACTCGTGTGGATGAGGCTGTTATAAATAGGTACATACATTTAATTTAAGTTTAAATTTTAAGCAAACATAATGTTGAATACAATATAGAAATTTGTATCCATTTTTTTTTTATATAAAAAAGAACAACTAATTACATTATCTAATTACATTAGCTAAATAGATTCACAGGTTGGCAAGGCCCTCGTTCCTATTTCCTCTGCTTTCACATACCAAACACAACAATATATGTTACAGAAATGAGTACAAAACACTTGGATTGCACATTGCAAGGAGGAACCAAGAGAATCTCAGTGTCGCCATGATTGTGCAACTTGAGACTTAGCCAGAATCACTTTTCCAAAATCTAGCAACACTGGGACGCTCCAGCCCCCCCCCTCAACATGACCTCAATTGATTCGGCATTTGTAGTGATCAGCTCTAGTCCACTGTCCAAAGTTAGATAGTATGAAAGGAGAATTTGCGCGAAAATTTTTTATTGCTGCATCTGATAGCGTCTGAGCTGCGTTGGCAGTGTTTTTTATGATTTTCTTTCCAATGGGGGAAACTATAAAAAAGTAGAATTAATTTTCTCCGCTCATAGTTGCTCATATTAGAGACCAAAGATAGGTATTCTCATGCGCAGTTCACTTGGTAGTTTCTTCTTAAGAATGAAATTCACAAAATTTAAGATATGTGCAAATTCTCTATCGCTTGAATGATTTTGATTATGAGTTACGGATGTGTTTTTGGGCAGTGCCGTAGAGAAATGGAATATCGATAGTGGGTGTAGTTAACAACATACACTAGTTTGTAGAGAGGTCCATAAAATCAATTTATAATTATTAAGTTTGCTTTTTGAAATCAGTTTTGATTCGCAGAATTAATTCACATTTGAAAACTTGCCACACAAAAAATTTCTTTCGGCAACATGTTCTTGTAGTGATTACATACTGGTTTTTGTTAAACTTTTTATTGAATAAAGAACCATCTATCTATCTATCTACATGCATAGTTCGCATGGCTCAACCAGTGCACATTAAGTTTTCTCTTTTTGGAATGTACTAAGTACTTAATTTATTCATGAACAGCACACTTATTCACCATGTAATTTCCATGCTGCATAAGTTATGATTTAAAATTTACCAGGAAAGAATAGGAATGAAATCTGCTGGTAGGATTTTTGAAAATAATGAAAATAGTTTACTTAAATATTCAGATGAAGAAATCAGAACATCCAATCCGTCATTAATCCCCCTAGATTGCTATATAGGTAATGTGATTCCCTACTTTTTCCATTTTCTTACTTAAACAATTATAACTACCCGTGAGAAGTCTTTGAAGGTTTCTTAAAACCTCAGCCTATATATTCTAGAACATAAAGAGTAACCTAACAAGTGGCACTCCCTCTCTGTAGTGATGGAGTTTTTTTAAGGACCCACGGCGGAGCTTGGAACATCTGGATTGCTCAGACATTTCCATCTTGCTCCAGATGCTTTATATGTGATTTTTTTCCCTGTTGCCAATTTCTTGTGCACACTGTCTTAATGAGGCTAATTAAGGAAATCGGTAAACAAGTCATATTTCAGTAGGTGCTTCCATACTCCCCTCCCCTTCAAGTAGGTACTCTTCTATGACATTGGTTTTGCCTTTATGCATCATCAAGTGCACAAGATTTTCGTACACTCATTTTGTCATTTGCTTTTTAAATTAGTAATTTTCATGCTCTTCATTTCCTAAGAGTACAGTCAAAGCCCCTTACTTCTCCATGAATAAGTATCACTTCAGGGCAGACCTCTTAAAGGCCCCCTTTCCCGCCCACCGTTGAAGGCACACATGAGACACTCTCTCCTATAGATTTATCGGAAGATTTACTTAATTTAATTTAATTTTTTTTTGTTGAAGTCCGAGACTTATTTTGGACTAAAATTAGCGCCCCCCCCCTCAAAAAAAAAACGGAATAAACAAGCGGGCCACTTTAAATTTGAAGGAAGAGTCAAAATTTCGTAAAAATAACTTCTTTATTTTATAATGGACGGTTTCTAACATTTCACTCATGCCAATTCCAAGTTTCAAAGGTTTTTTGGCTGCTTATTTTACTCTCTTTGCGCTTTTTATCACTGCAATCAAGCCAGTGGCGTGGCGCACTATGCGATATATCGATTGATGTGCATGCCATTTCAACCTATGGTAAAGAATCGATCATTAAAGTGCTTGTTGCCAACTCCCTGTTAATCGATCATTTCTCGTAGGTTCAAATGGCAGATCATTGGATTTATCGCAAAGCACGCGACGCCACTAAATCAAGCCGAAAGTTCTGGCCTCTCCCACGTGAAATAACCAAAAAACGGAGGCAGGTTTCGTGGAAAGGACTCCGTGGTGAAAGAATCGTGCGTTGAGGTGAGAATGCCGGAGAGAGAAGAAGAACACAAAATGAAAGCTGGATGAAAAAAACGTGACGTCTAATTAATTAATGAGATGATATCACTGTTCCACGGGACGAGTTCTCTTGTTTATTTTTAACCTCCCGCTTATTTTTACGTCCTGTGTCTTTCCATGGAATTCACTTGACACCAGAAAAGTCGGAGCCAAGAATTTCCCGTAATTTTATGAAAGAGTCTGAATGAATGCTCCCCTCGATCGTTTCTCAGGGTGTATACCGGTCCCCCAAAGTCCCCAATGTCCCCGGTTTTGGAAGGGTGTCCCCGATATCCCCCTAAGTCCCCAATTTTCTTGTTCAGGTCCCCAAAAAATGACAAAAATCCTCCTGAACACCCGAGTTCTCAAATTTTCCCGCCCACCACGACGGCGCGGTGTAAGCAGGAATAAAAAAACTCAAGTGTTGCTTCGTTTTTCGTATGTTTTCATCGGTTCGACATGACTTGTAAAATTAGTCGTATAAAGTACGTCTTTCAACGCTCTAACTAGCTCCCTTTCTCTTACTATTACGGGAAAAAATGTCCCCGATTTTTTTGAAAAAAACTCCCAAAAAATCCCGAATTTTGGTTTTTCATAACTAGCAAACACCCTGATTCTTAACGCCATGCGTCGTGATGTACTCCTAGATCAAGCTACGAAACAATTTGACAATTTTATGTCGTCGTGAATCTGCGGAGTTATCGAGGCATCCAGGGGGCAGTCGCGAAGATCCTGAAATATCAGGGACACGCTCGAAAATCAGGAATTTTTAAGATGATTTCGCAACCTCAACCGGGAGTAGTATTAACCAAGCGTCGAAATCGAATCGCTAAGATTATTATCTGGTGTTCGTCCGCGGTACAGCCAGTCAGGGAAAGTGCCGAAATTGTTGGATAATTTTTTCTCGTCAAGTATTTGCTTACAACTTTCACTCTGACATCCTCCTGTTGCTATAATGTCCTATCGGGATTCTTCCGTCGCGTTGATTTAATCGCCGTCACTGGAGTGAAGACCGGAAATCAAGGAATTGTAAGCATCTCATTCCTAAGAAGCCTCTCTGTCGTACAATTCTTTCGAGATCGTGAGATCTCAACCGTATTTTTCTCAGAACCCAATGTCCATCTGACAATTTCAGCATACTGAGAGAAAGATTACGAAAAATGTTCAATTTGTACGTAGCATGGTTTCAACGATCACGGTGTCAACAAACAGTTTTTCTAAGTTTTTGTTGACACCATGATCATCCAAAAATGAAAAAATTCCGACTTATGAAAAATGAGCACGGTGTCAACGATCACGACGTCAACGAAACTTAAAACTTGCCTCAATAACATCTTTCTTTCAAGTCTTTCTTTTCTTGTGTTATTTACTCAAACCTAACCTTACCCGCCTTCACCTTTCAAGACCTAGCCCACTTTCACAGAGCTTAACTTTCCCCCACATTACCCTACATAACTTTAACCTTACCTACTTATTCTATCCGTACGTACATGTCCCGACCTAAACTAACCTAATCCAACTATACGTGACCCATACCTCTCCTGTACTCCTAATTTTTTAATTTTACTCATAAGGAAGACATTTTTCTGTTTGTTGACACCGTGATCGTTGACACCATGCTCAGGGCCCATTTTGCGTTTTACTGCCTGAGCGCGACGATCGTTGACTCCATGGTCAGATGTTTGGTTT